GGAAAGGATATGCCATGCAAAAGGAATCTAAAAACAAGAAGGAATAGCTACACTCATACTTAACAAAGCAGAGTTGGAACCAAAATTAAAAGAGACAAAGAAGGCTATTACATATTGGTAAACAATAAATGCACTGACCATTGGTGCACCCCATTCCATGAAACAAACACTATTTGACATAAGGTGACAACACATAGATCCAAATACAATACTAGTGAGTGATTCAACACTCCTCTCTCATCTATACATAGGTGTTATGGTTTATGTCTGTGTGTCCCCTCCAAAGCCTCATGCAACCATGGGGCAGGCTATTAGAGTTGAATGATTGTGGGTGTGAGAGCTACACCCACCCTGGGGTGGATAGTTTGCATATGTAAGGGAGAGGAAAAGAGTGCTTGAGGACATTCCTCCCCCATTCCGCCCTGGTGTGTGCTTGCAGCTTAGCTGTGTTCTGCCGCCCTGAGCTAGCTCTTTGCCATGGCCACTCTGCCTTATAATCTGCCAAGTACGGACTGAAACCTCCACAAACTATAAGCGAAATAAAACTTTCCTTCCTTAATTTTGGGTGTCAGGTATTTTGTCCCAGCAGCAAGAGAAAAGTAACTGAGACAATAGGTCAACCAGAAAGAAATCAGCAGTGTTAAACTACACCATAGAGCAAATGGACTTAACAGACATGTACAGAGTTTTCCATTAAACACCAGGGGAATACACATTCTTTTCAGAAGTATGTGGAACTTTCTCCAAAAGACAGGACGTTTAGGCCATAAAGCAAACACTTGTTTTATGAAAACTCTGAAATAATGTAAAAAAACCTCTGAAATAATTACTTGCATCTTATTAGATGATAATGGAATTAAACCAGAAGTCAATGGCAAGAGAAACTACAGAAAACACGGAGGCTGAACAATATATTTCTCAACAATAAATAGATAATCAAAGAAATTAAGGGAGAAGTTAAAACATTCCTAGACTCAAATGAAAATGGAAACCCAACATACCAGAATCTCCAGGGTACAGTGAGAAGGAAGTGTTTTGCTCTAACTGTCTACATTAAAAAATCTGAGTGATCTCAACCTAATGATGCATCCCCAGGTCTTAGAAAAGCAAGAACAAATCAAACCCAAAGACAATAGAAGTTGTATTTCTTTGCTGAAAGAAACTGTCAATGAGTCCTTGGTTGATCAGCTTTGTATGTCTATATCTGTTTTCATGAGAAACCACTTTGCAGATATCAATATGTAATACAACAAGCATTGTTAATTCCCTACCACTCTGTTTGTAACTCTGTACTGTTCCTTTGCTATTTTGTAAAATGTTGACTGTTAATATTTTCCTCCTTTTATTTTTAAAATTAAAAAAAAAAACAAAGACAATAGAAGGAAAGAAATACTAGTGATAAGAGATAGAATGGATGAACTGTCATACCAAAGAATAATACAAAAGGTAACTGAAAGAGCTGGTTTTTTGAAAAGATAAATGAGATTGGTAAACTTAGTCATACTAACCAAGAGAAAGAGAGAAGACCCAATTAATCAAGATAGAAGTGAAAAAGGGGAATATTTGAACAGATACTACTGAAATCCAGAGGATCATTAGGGACTATTTTGAAAACTTATATTACAATGAATTGGAAAAATCTAGCAAAGCAGATAAATTTCGAGGTACGTATGACTCTCCAACATTAAATCAGGAAAATATAAAAAACCTTGAGATTAATAGTAATAAAATTGAAGCAGTACTAAGTCCTCCAACAAAGAAAATCTTAAGAATAGATGTGGGGCTGGGGATTTAGCTCAGCGGCAAAGCGCCTGTCTGGCAAGTGCAAGGTCGTGAGTTCGGTTCCTGGTATTGGAGAAAAACCAAAAAAAGAAAAAAAAAAGAATAGATGTGTTCACTTACCAGTCCTTAGAGAATACCAATGTTTGCCAAACTATTTCATAAAGTAGAAAGGGAAAGAATCCTTCCAAACTCATTCTATAAAGCCAGTATCACCCAGATACCAAACCCAGGTGGAGACTCAACAAAAAGGAAAACTACAGACCAATACACTTGGTGAATATACACACAAAAAACCAAACTTAACAGCACATTAAAAAGCACATATAACATGATCAAGTTGGTTTTAAGGAGTGCAAGGGGTTCAAGGATGGTTTAGAACACATACACACAAAATCAATAAATGTAATACACCACAGAACCAGAAGCCAGAAAAAAAAATCCCATGATTATCTCAGTAGAGGTAGAAAAAAACCTTTGACAGAATTCAACATTGATTTATGATGAAGGTCCTGAGGAAGTCAGGGTTTAGTTTTAAAGAAAGCTTTTACCTCAAAGGGCTATGTAGGAGAAATCTATAACTAACATCATACTAAAGAGAAAAGCATTTCTTCCAAAATCAGAAATGACAGAAGAATGTCTAGAGTTACCACTCCTGTCAATATAGTCCACTGAAATTTTAGTGAGAACAATTAGGCAAGAAAAAATTAAAAGTTACAGAAAAGGAAAGGAAGAGGTCAAATCTTCCCTATTTGTAGCCGACAAGATCCTAAATTAGAAGACCAGCGTAACTGACAGTATGAAAGACCTCTGCAATAAAAGTTACAGAACCATGTAGGAAGAAATTGAAGATGGCAGGAAAAGATGGAAAGGCCTCCTATGTTCATGCTTTTTTTTTTTTTTTTCCCAGTATCAGGAATCGAACTCACGATCTCGCACTTGCCAGGTAGACACTGTGCCGCTGAGCTAAACCCCCAGCCCCTGTGTTCATGAACTGACAAAAGTAACATTGTTAAAATGACCATATTACCAAAAGCAATATGCAGATTCAGTGGGATCCTCATCAAAATACCAATAATATTCATCACAGAATTAGAAGAAAAACAGTTCTAAAATTCCTTTGGAAGCACAAAAGGCTCATAATAACCAGTGCAATCCTGAGCAAAGACAGCAATGCTACAGGCATCACAATACCTGATTGCAGAATATGTGACAGAGCCATAGTGACAAAAACAGTACAGCACTGGTATGAAAATGGGCATGTGGGCTGTAGATGACACAAAACAGAAACAAACCCACGAAGCTGGAGCCATCTGATTCCTGACAAAAAGGCCAAAAACACATGTTAGAAATAAAACAGTCTTTTCAATAAATGGTGCTGGGAAAACTGCATAACCCTGTGTTGAAGACTGAAACTGGATTCCTAACTTTCATGCTGTACAAAAGTCAATTTAAAATGGACCAAAGCCCAAAGTGAAAGGCCCACAACTGTGAAACTGGCAGGAGAAAACATAGGGGAGACACTTTAACCTACGGGAACAGGCAACGACTTCATGAATGAGAGTCCAGTAGTGCAAGAAATAAAAGGAAGAATTGACAGATGAATTGCATCAAATTGGAAAACGTCTGTCCAGGAAGGGAAACAACAGGGTGAAAAGGAAGTCTCCAAAACAGGAGAAAATCCTTGCCAGCTACTTATTCTGGCAGAAGGTTAATATCCAGAATTTATAAAGAAGTCAAAAAAATTAACACCAAAACCAACACAATCAATAAATAGCAAATGATCTGAACAGACGCTTCTCAGAAGAAGTACAAGTGGCCAATAAGTATATGAAAAATTGTTCCACATCTTGATGCATGTGGGAAGTGCCAATAAAACGATGTTGAAATTCTACCTCACCCCCTTCAGAATGGCTACCTTCAACAATACAAAAAACAATACATGCTCATGAAGATGCAGAGAAAAAGAAACCCCTGCCCACTGGTGGTTGAAATTTAAATTGGTATGCCCATTCTGGAAATCAGGATGGAGTTTCCTAGAAAAATTAAAAATAGAGCTGCCATGGGATGCAGCTACACCGTTCCTTGGTATTTACAGGAAGGCATTAAAGAGGGAACACTATGGAGATGTCTGCATACCCCTGTTTGTTAGGGTGCATTGTTTAATAATTAAGCTATAGAAACAACCCAGGTGCCCTTCAGTAGCTGAGTGGTTAAAGAAAATGTGATATATATACACAGTAGAATATTATTTAACCATAAAGAAGAACAAAATGTCACGTGCAGGAATTAGAGATCATCATGTAAAGTGAAATAAACCAAACTTAGAAAAACAAAGAGATGAGATAAACGTAGAGGGTAGACGGAGAAGAATCAGGGATTGAGGCGGGGGAAGGAGAAGGTCTAGGGAAGAATAGGGGGATGGGTAGGCTTAAAGTGTGTTATATGCATGTACAGATTTACCAAGTTGAAACCCATTCTAAATAATTAATATGTACTCTAATACTAGAAAAGAAAGTAACAGTTATAGCCCTCTGCAGTGGTATGTGTCTGTAATATTATCCATGTGGGAAGCCGAGGCAGGAGGATGGTAAATCCAAGGCCAGCCTAGGCAACTTAGAGAGAGCTTGTCTCAAAATTAAAGTTGGGTTGGGGATGTGGTTTCATGGTAGAGTGATCCTGGGTTTAATCCCGAGTGCTCCCCCAAAGTAATTGGTTGTGCTGGTTTTAATGCTGGTCTGTTACAGTTGGCTTGGGGTTCTTCAGTTGCAATAGTGAACTGGGTTCACGGTCTGTGAGGTATTTCATTTTTGAGTGTGGGGATCCAGAGTCTTATGTGTGCCAGCACCTGCTCTATCACTGAGGCCCAGCCCCAGCCCAAATATGTTTGTGCTAATAAACATCATTTTGCTGCCAAAAGTATCTGAGTGAAACACAGAGGAGAACAAAATATAAATCCAAACCAAGCGAAAATTCACAGCCAGAAATGTCCTTGGTCGTTAGCAAGCCCGCCTTGTGCTGGCCTGGACTAGAGTGATGTGGCTCGGTCAGACCAGAGCTCTCACAGGTTTCAAACCCCCAACTGGTCAGATTTTTGCTTATCTCCCAAACCTTGGTTTCTCTGACCACCTCCAGGAGCTCTGGAGCTGGCTTGGGGCCCCAGGGCCACACCCCTTCCTGCTTCCTGTGAGATGTCATGTGACAACTGGCTGACACAGGCTCCTACAGACAGACCAGCACTTCCCAGGCATCATCAGCCTTCTGGGCCCCAGCCCATTTGGCTGTGCTGGCTCAGGGGAGCTGTGGCCCACACCCTCGCTGTCCTGTTCTCCCTGGGTGAGTTCTGGAAGAGACCAAGGTGGGAGGGTGAGACGGGGCTGTTGCCCAGGTCTGGCCTCTGGCTCCACCCAAGCCACCACCTATTGCCCAGGCTGGATCCATGCCTGGGCCCCAGGACACTGCCTCACAGCCCAGCCCAGAGGCTTTGGACAGGAACTGGAGAAAGCTCCATTACCACCCGCTTCCTTTCTCTTCTAGAACGGCATCTGATCTTTGGAATTTGGGGACAGGATGGAGTCCAGACCCCAGTTCCCTGAGTCCTCCTCCAGGGCAGCCCTGACTTTGCCTGATCAGAGGAGCTGGAGGAACTATTGTCATGAACACCAACGTTTGGCCACAGGAGCCGATGTCATCCACATCCTGCTCTCCCAGAGTCAGGCGTCACCCTCCTCTGCGACCTCGTGTGCAGCATTGGGTCATAACAGAGAAATCCCCTGCTCACTCAAGGACCACGTGGACAGTAGGGGATCCCCTGACATCCCAGTAAGGCTGAGGGGAGGCTGACATAGGAGAAGCACAAGCGTGGGGTCTTAGTGGCTCTGAGTGTTCGTCTTGATGGTCACCCTCCTCTTTGTTTCCCCAGGGGGCACCTACTTACAGGGGAGGATGTTCTTGCCCAGAGAGAAGATGCAGATGAAAGTTCTGGCTTCACAGTCTGCAAACTGTGATGCCATAGCAACCCCGTCCTCTGGTTGGAGTTCACTTTCATGATGAAATGCACTATTGGGGTGGTGGCTGTGATCTTATCATGGTTGTGAGATTTTTATGTCACGCTGGAAACTAGGCAGGTAGAGAATGAGGTCTGTGTTGTAGTAATAATAAAAGCCCAATACCCCAGTGTCACCATGGTTGTTCTGAATATCTGTAGCTCAAGCCCTGTGTCTCAGCCTAAGGTTTTTGGAAACTATTCTACTTCAATTACCAGTAGTCATGTCTCCAATTCATTAGGCTGAGGAAGTTTAAAAAATCCACCATTAGGGGCTGTGAGCTGTGCGGACTGTATCACGGGGTAGGCTAAGACAGACGCCAGCAGAGCATTTGCTTCCTGGTGCGGCTGCAACAGGATGGCCCCTTTCTTGGGTGGTCTTTGGGCAGGCATGGCTGGAAAGGGTGTAGGTCTCAGCTGTAGGATATGATCCTCCCTGTTCTTTTCTAGGATAGTGATCTTGCTGATTACACAATAAAGAGATTATTTGCATGCAGTCTCACAGTTTTCAACAAGTTTTGCAATGTACAGATTGTTTGCACCAGTGCGATTGAGCTCTTAACCGACATTTTCGGACCATGGGTGGGAGAACACCGGCCTTCATTCTACACGGAGATAGCGCTTCTGCAGGGAGAATGGGGACTTCTCATCTTAGCTAAAGCTTGGGAGTAGGATATTCCTACTGGGGATTCTTCTATTGGTAGAAGAACACTATCAGCTCCTTGCCAGGCAACTGAAGATTTGCCTCAAAGATCAGTCATCAAACAGTCTCAGTTTCTCTCCATGAGTATTCATTTTTGCATGTCAACTTGTAAAAATAACTACTAGTTAGCATTTTAAAAAATTACCATGTTCCAGACACTGTTTTAAGCTCTTTGCTGAAGCTATCCCATGTAATCTCTGCATCATTCCAATAAGATATGCAACACTTAAATTCTTATACTTGTATTAGTTCTAGGTACACAAAAATGACTAACATAAAGCTACCTGCATGGAGCTTGGATTCTAAGTGAGGAAGACAAACCATAAATGAAACACTCACCATATTACAGGGTACACTTGGTGTTGTTTTATGCTCAGTGAAGAAGAACTTGGCAGGCAAGGGCCGGGGGTGATCCCAGGTATGAGACTTGTATATGTGAACAGGTGGATGGCCCAGGCGGGGGATGTGCATACATATGCAATGTACCCCCAGGATTATTCCTTGAAAATTTGACATTTTTTATAGTATTGGAGAAGATATAACTGCAAGTTGCACAGAGAGTTGGGGAAATAGTCCAGGCAGAGGGAACACACAGGCAGAGAGGGGGAGGTAGAGTGTGCCAGTGCCCAGCACTGCTCTGAGTAGAAGATTCTATCTGGCTCTCCCGTGGTGTGGCACCTCCCTGTGGGGAAGGAAGTCTGAGAACTGAGGACCTGTACCTGCCCTCCTGCCTTTGAATGTCGCCAGAATGGCAGAATTCCCTCCCCAAGGGCCCAGACATGCCGCCAGGCTCTTCCCTGGCCAGTGCTACTCACACCTGAGCCCAGTGGGCAGTGGCTTTGGTGCAGCATGTGAAGCATCCAGGGTCCTCATGGCCAAGGGCACCCAGAGAGCTCACACGTGTGGTTTTTGCTGTTCCCCTGGCTGGGCACTGGGCAGGATCTGGGATGGGAAGGGGCACATCATGGGTGGCTTCCTCCTTTTGTGAGTGATGGAGACCACTATGAAACAGCCCTGAGCAGGACTTAAATTAACCAACTGGCTTTTCATGTTTTTTTTTTTTTTTTTTTTTTTTTTTTAGTGAGTATCTTCACATATTTACTTGCAGAGAAATGGATATTTATATTTATATAAAAGAGGAAGCCCTCCCCTCCCTCTCCTCCCACACTCATTCCCATACCTTCTCCACTCTCACAGGCCACCCTCAAGAGTCTGGTCTGTATCCTTCCAACTGATTTCAAAAACATTTACCTATGTATGTGTATCTATTAGCAATATAAAATGTTGAACTTCATCAAGGAAATGTTTATAATTTAAATTTACAAAGTCATTGTGCTATGCATCATTCTCCAAGTTTTTTCCCTCAACATTCTTTTAGGTCCCTCCATGAGCATGTGGCTCTCATATGTTGCACTTTTATAGGTGTACGAGTACTATTACACCATAAGAACTTTCCATTTTGTTCTAGATGGGTATGTGAATTGTTTCCAATATCTGGCTACTACAAAGGGAGCCACAGAGAAATTCCTGGTATTTCCTGAGCATACACATAGTTAAAACTAGTTATATGTTTTTTGGTTTGTTACAAGGAATGTTTTCCTACTCCCAAGGTTTCATGTTGTGAGTGTGTCCCAGGACTAGGCTCCTTGTCTGGAGATGGGTGGTGGACTCATAGTAAGTGAACCTGTGAGAGTCATTAATCCCTACTAAGGCCTGTAATGGCGGATGAAGCTGGAAAGCCTCAAAGGATAAGACAGGCTCACAGCCAAGGACACCTGGATCCAATCTCAACTAGATAAAGACTGTAGTCTCAGGCATCTCACTCCTGGGTGGATTAAGTTAGTACCTTACTTGGAGAAGTCCTTGAGTGGTTCCACCCTTTTTGAGTCCTCCCCTCCCTTCTTCTGATAACCAAATAAATACAGACCACCCAGAGAATCTCTTGGTCTTCACCCTGAGAGAATCTCAAATTCTGTGAGAGGGCTTTGGTCCTCCTGGAGCCCTGAAGTCATTCCATTTGTCTCTTTTTATTTAGCCTTCACTGTGCACCTGTTCTGGAGACTGCAGACTTGATCTGCCCATGATAACTAAGGGATGTTGTTAACCTGGTACTCTCCTGCTCTGTGCCCCTCAGCAAGAGCACGGTCCCAGTTTGGCGTGAGCTCTCTCAAGAGCTCTGTTTCTTGTGGGCCTCCCCGGTGACCTGACCTCCTACTCAGTGCCAGGAAACAGGCCTGGGATCTTTCTCTGAACACACTTATCTCACCATTCTTGCCATTTTCAGCAGCAGCTCTGGAGTCCTCTTCCTGAGAGTCTTTGTGAGGTGTGATCAAAGTGCAGTAAATACTGCTACCAAGTGCCGTCTAACAAAAGGCAGGCTCATAAAAACATGATGCTGCATCCTCATCTACGTTATTCACTGGATTTAGCACTGCATGACTTCTGGCTCTTCCCTAAAGTCAGAATGACTATGAAAGGGAAACATTTTGAATCAAGTCAGGACACTGAGGCAGCCACAACTGTGCAACTAAAAGGATCTTGGCTAGGTGGCGCTGGAGTGTCTTCAAATGCAGACCTTGTTATTCAGGTCTGCTGAGTCCAACAGAGCAGGAGCCCATTGCTGAGTAGACCCTTTCATGCTGTGCATGGCCACATGGGGTGCAAACTTTTGAAATCACTCAGCTTTGCCATTTGCTCCTGGTTCTCATAGACCTGGCTAAGAGCAGCCAGAAGTGCCCATGCTACAACCTGAATATTGGGCTGTTTGAAATTTTCTCTACTGGACTGATAACCTTAATCTTGGTCTCCTGCAAAGTCTCAGAATATGGACGAAATGCAGACAAATTTTCTGCCAGTGAACAACACACGTGACTTCTAGTCCAACAGTCAATGGAATTCCTGTTACCAGTGGAAATCTCCTGAGCCTGGCCTTTACTGCCTGCATTTCTATCAACATTCTAGTCTTCTCAACTCTGGCCAGTATTGTACATCAAACACAATATTATAAAGCTTAGCCTTTGATTGTCAAAATAGGACCTCAATTTTTCACCTAGACCTGGTGCATTCTAGAAAACTGAGAAGTCAGAACTTCTCAGAGCTCATCTTCAAAGGTAAAAAAGATGATGCAAAATTATTGGTTTCATCTTCACAAATAGATTCATGGCCCTGCTTGACAGTTTCTTTTAATAGTGGGACACATTCTAATCACATCCCAAGAGGAAAACCTAGCACTTTGTTAATGTATTAAACAGCCACATCACCACACCCCTCTGCTCTGCCTCCCAGGGTAGATTGCAGGATCTCATCTCTGGTCACTGCTCTTTCCCTCTGTAATGTAGGGATCATCACATAGAATCTAAGGGTGTACCTGCACTAATGAGGCATTGGCCTCTCTTACCAGGAAGATAGGGACCCACAGGATCCAATATTGTGTCACCCTTTTCCACAGTATACATGAATTTGTACTGAAATGTGACACCTGTCTTCCAATCCATTTTTTGACCCATGGCCATGTCTGCATGTTCATTCTTCTGGTTATCAGTCCTATTTTTTTTTTTTTTTTTCTGGTACTGGGAATTGAACTCATGACCTCACGCTTGCCAGGCAGGTACTGTGCTGCTGAGCTAAATCCCCAGCCCTGGTTATCAGTCCTTGCACAATTAATGAATTTGTTTATGAAATGGAAATTCACTTAGCATCTTTTCTATTTTTCCCATATTAGATGCTTCTCCCTTTACTAAGATATAAAGGAAAAGGGCATGCTTAAAATATCTGTTATCATGTGAGAGGCAGAGCTACCATCTCCTCCCATTCCTACCTGTGCCTTTTTCTCCCCTACATGAACTCCATCCCCCGTAATATTGGTTCCTCACCTGTGTGCAAGCCAGGTGGACCAAGCATGTGGACCTGCTGTACTGTAGTGGAGCTGTAGGGATGTGGGGAACGGATACTATCATGCTTCTGAGGATTGTGAAGAGCAGCATGTGGTCTGCTCTGCCATTTAGAGATCCCCTGTTCTTTCAGGATAAATGGTTACTCACAGTGGAAGCATGATTTAATAGAAGGGAAGTCACAAAGATGCTTGGGGTCAGACACAGGTCAGCACTTCTGACAGTGACTTACTGGATCTACCTCGTGATGTTGTGTCCACATCACTGTGGACATCATCAGAGTGCCAGCCATGACCGTTTCCATCAGAGATTCAGGAAGATGTGTGACTCCTGCAGACTATAAAGTGTGTGATGTGGGAATCTGGAAGGTAATAAGTTAAGGGAAGCCCAGTTGATAGGGCCTCGGTTAATAATCCAGTGTTTGGTCCCACAATCAGGAATTTTGTTTTTCAGAGAACTAGGATAAGTGACCTAGTTTTCAGAGCATTGGAAAGAAGACAGAGAACAAAATGAAGATGTCACTTAATTTCTACCATAATCGAAGGCACTATTGTTGTGAAAGAGGAAGTCAGTCACAAGGGATGACGTATCAGTTATGTGGTGCAAGACGAGGAGAAAAATGATGGGAATAACGGTAAATGAGACCTCACTGGATGGCGACACTGGACCAAAATCTGAAGACACTGGTGTGATCTGTGTAGAGTTTTTTTTTTTTTTTTTTTCCTCCGGTACTGGGAACCGAACTCATGACCTTGCGCTTGCCAGGCAGGCGCTTTGCCGCTGAGCTAAATTCCCAGCCCCTGTGTAGAGTTTTTGGTGTGTGATAAAATAATTCTCGCAGAGGAGGGAGTGGTGGAGCCAGAGAACAGTGTAGGCGGGCACAGGACCCTCAGCCTGGC